TACACCCCTACAAGCTGCTGTGGTCCCGTCTTAGGGCCACGCGCGCCCCAGGATCTCGTCCAGGCACAGCAACCGTGCGCGCCCGCCCGTGTGCCGCGTGGCCGACCGCGCGCTGGACCGCCACCGACGGAGTGCTCCACCAGCGCCTCGCCCATGCTGCCTGGGCGCCGCGCGCAGCAGGTGGGGCCCGGCACGCGCGCAGCTTGACAAGGCGCCGCACGAACGAGATCGCAGAGGCGTTCCAACGTCCCCTAGGTTTCCGGCTGCCTGTGCTGCCCTACTCGCCTCTCAGAAGGCGCCTCTCCAGCGGCGGCTCTGCCAGCCTGTTCGGGTGCTGTGGCGCTGGCCGCTCTTAGCCCAGCGCCGTGCTTGCAACCGCTTGCTGGACTGCGACTGCCAGCATACCCCACCAACGCCCTGGCCACCCCGCAGCGGCGGCTGTCCTCACGGCGGGCACGAGCTCCCGTGCAAAGCGCGCCGCCTCGCCATTCCAGCGCCCGCCGACTTCGGACCCCAGCACAAGGAAACGTTGGGGTCCAGCGCGCGTTTGCCGCGAAGCTGGCGCAAGGGTACCTCCAATGTCCTGATTCGAGACATGACCATCGATGCGCCTGCCACGGACGCGCGCCGCATCGAGGTGCTAACGAATGGCCTGCCGCTTTGGCAGGGGGGCACAAGCCGCCTTTGACACCATTTTGGTCTCACCGTTGACGCGCGATGGAGCCCACGTCCCGGCACTGATCGCACGGATGGGAACGCGGTCTCGGCCGCGACCGATCGCCAAGAACTGGCGGTTGCTTGCCGGTGCAGCTGCCCAGCAGCCGCCTGCCGGCTGCCATCCGGAGAATGGAGGATTTCCTACTCAACCTCCATCTTGCAAAGTAGCCCCGAGAACAAACAGCCATGGTTGTGGAAAAACATGATATGGAAGCGAGCAGCGGCAACATCACAATCGCTGCTCAAACGAACACGTCTCAGAACACAAGGAAAGCAGCAGATTTGGCACAGATTTTTCTTCCGAATGTTAGCAAGCATCATCAACGACAATGTTCACGTCATTTCACGTCGCAATCATAAGCGAACCCGCCCCCGACTGATCAATTTCCATGTTGGGGGCCCCCTGCACTGATTTTGCATGAGCGTGAATATGAACATCAGTATGAATATGAACATGACCTTAAGTTGAGCATGACTATGATTAATGGTTTTCATAGTAGTAAGGCGGACCAACAAATCGGCAAGGTAGCCTTAAAACAAATCCTTTGAAACTTATGGGTTCCCAACTTCTCCACAAAAAGGTTTGAGGTAAGCAGCTTTTGAATATTTGTCACTTTTTTTTTTTCCTCGGACTTTTCCGCCTGCTCGACGTGTTTTGGTCTGTGGGAGCGCGGGTGGCTCGGCTTGGCTGGCCGGCTAGCTGCGCGCCCCGGTGGGGGTCCGGGGCGTTCCCGGGTCCACCGTTGGTGTTGATGGTGGAAAGGTGTGATGTTCGTGCCCAGGTCTATCCCAAGTTTTTTTTGTCAGGGGGTGCCTGCAGTCCGAGTGCCGGTGTTGACGATGAAGATCTGCAAAACATGATGTTGGTGCATGTGCGCGAATCACACATTTCAAGGATTGCACAGGGACTGGTCGCAGTGATTTTGAATTCAGCGTAGCATAGCCGTCCAGTGCCTGCATTGTATTTTTGGTGTGAATCTTTGGGGGAGTTGAGACTGCGGCCCATGTTTCAAAGCAACAAGCTGTTTGGTGTTGCCGTGTGGATTGGTGTTCTGGCCGCAAAGAAGGAATGGTGGGCACATGTGTTTGTCTGGGTCCAATGTTTGTTGCTTCGTCGTGCTGCGTAATTTGTTCACAGGTGGCAAAGCGTAATGATTCAACACGTGCTGGATTATCAACACAGCACTTGCACATTGAGCTCAACAGATTACACCGAATACCCAACAAAAAGTTCATGCCAGTCAAGCAGCCATGGTCGCGAATCAGGCTGGCCTGGCCAACCAGGCGAGGGACAACTTCATGATGTTCCGAATGCACTGTTGGAACATTTCAGCTGAGGCAAAAGCAATCCAGCGACAAATCCAGCAAGCGAGGCGTGCTGGTCATAATGGTTTCCTGTAGCCTGCAAAAGCGGTGCGGTCTTTGCGACGTAACTAAACCACGACGCAAGATTTTAGACATTCATCGTTGCATGGCTTACAACCAGAGCCCTTGCATAAATGTAAGCACGCTTTGCGCAGACAATTGCTATGCGATTTGTGCGCCCGTGGAGTTTGAGAACGTTTGATACTTTCATCATTTTTCCACCTTCCGTATTGCGCTGTCAGGAGCGAAGCTGCGCGCGCAGAAGCCCGACGTGTCGGGTAGCTCAAAGCTGGTGAGAATGTTGCTATTGGCTGGTGCCGGCTTCTTGTTGATTCGTTGCATGCAAGGCTGGCTTGGGCCATGACTGGCTGAGAGTTATGGATCTTGAACTGCCATTGTGACATCCCTTACCATGACCCCACATGTGTTTCGAAAGATTTTTCCCTCTAACCCAAACTCCCCGAGGCAAACATGTCATTGGGCTTTTCCATTAGTCTTTTTACACACAAGAAACTCACCAGATTGTACATGCCGACTTTGCGGAAACATGGGCGGCACAGAAGGTTGTGCCCCAGGTGCGTGCGCAGCCGCTTTATGAAGCGCATTTGTTGACCAAAAGCGCAGCCATGCAGCATGCCAAAGCTTTGGCCATTCTTGAAGTCAAGGATGGGGTGATCGAAAGGTTGGAACAGGAGGTTTACGCTGCAGAAGCAGAAGTCGGTCATTACGAAAAAGGCGCTGAGTTGGCCGAGGCCCGCGCAGCAGCAGCGTGTGCCACGGAATCAACCATTGCAGCGCTCCAGCATGATACAATCTGTGAAGGCGATGTGTATGCTAGGCAGGATTGTGAGCTTCTGGCAAAAATGGCAGCACAAGCAGAACGCCGAGCGCAAGATGCAGCTGTCGAGATCGCAGAGCTGAGGGAGCAAAGCAGCGAAGCAGAGCACAGCTTGGAAAGATTATCAGTTGAAATGCCGAACAATGGGTCAGCCATGCCTACCACATTGCAGACTTTATCCTCTGAGGCTTCTAGGCAGTTTTTGTGTCATTTAAAACGCCAAGGTCCAGCCCATGCCAGTGCAAGTGGGCCTGTCCTTGTCAACCTGCATCGATTGCTTGCCTACGTAAACGAACCCTTTGGATGCAAGGGCGTTAGCTAGTGCATGTGCGCTGGCCGCAAGGTTCCTGGTGATGTGTATAGATCCGACTTGAATCCAAGGTGATACGATTACAGGAGGCGCTTTGTCGCTCTCAAGCCGCGCTGCATGCTGCAGAACGGCAAGCCCATGAAACTCGACGACGTGAGCTGGACCTTCTTCACAGTTTGGGCCACTGGGCAGAAGGCAGTGCCGCTGTGGTGTCTCGTTCATTCGTCCTGAAGAGTATTTGCAATAATCCCTCATCAGGTAGCAGCGCAGCGGCTGCAACAGGGCCAAGCAGCACGAAAAGTGAAGCTACAGAACTACAGCAGCAGTTGCCAAATCAAAGGCTGGTCAAAGTTGAGGACCATTTGGAGGAGCGTAGCCTGCAAACTTTGCTTTAAAGATGTTGTGAAACTTCCTGCATCTCTCAGAGGAAATGCTGGCGCAGCATGATGCTGAGATGGTCTCCGTGGCTTCTCGAAGCTTGGCCAGCAACTGTCTTGGCAAACAAAATCGTGTAAGCGTATCCACCTGGGTTTACGAGGGCATTTCATAATTCATGAGCAGGCGCCGAGGCTCCCATGTTTTTGGGATTCAGGCTTGTGTGCAAGGTACAGGGCCTGCCCAAGGCAGATGTTCCAGGTGTTCCAAGCTGCAGACAGATGCACGTCTTGTGTAGTGTTGGAAGAAAGAGGGAAGTAATGTTTCTTAGTTTTTAATTTTGTTCTGCTACAGGTAGTGCTTACAATTAGTTGCAGAGCGAGCGAGTAGAGATGGTGGGGTTGCATCATAGTTGCCGATAAAAATGGCAAAACACGCCAGGACTTTGTGCAGACCTCAGTGGTGGCAATGTTGGTGAGCCCTTGAACCAAGTCGGTTCACAGATCGCAATGCGGCAAGGCCGGGCAATGCGATCAGCCAAGCCAAGACCAAGCTCTCGGCCAACATTGCGGTCAGGGATGGGGCCGCCCGATGCTCATTTTGAAGAGGTTCAACAACTTCGCAAGGAGTGCTACCTGCTAGAGAAGGAGCTAACAGATGCCTCGCTGCTGACACAGCGTGTGTCCGCGTCACAAAAGATAGCCGAATCAGAGAGCCAGAAAGCATTTATCGAGCTTCAGCGAGCCCGCCAGAACTTTGCAACGATTCTGTCGCAGCTTCGGGAAGTCGGCTCATCGCACACGACATGGCCAGAATCGAGGACACTCGGTGGCCGAGGGCCTGAAGAGGTGGCACATGAAACATCTTCGCTCCGAGATTCGCTGAATGCCCTATGCAGAAGCCTTGCCGAGGGGCCGCAGAAGGGGCAAGCATGGCTTGAGGGAGTTGCAGATGTTGGAGGACAAGTATTGATGGCAATGGCAACTATGAGAGAAGTGAACCAAAAATTGCAGCATGCGGAGCTGCAAGTATACAGCTCAAATAGGGACTGGTCATGCAAAGACGAAAACCTTGGAATCATGGCGGCCGCAGATGCGGATGCTAAAGCTCAGCGAGACCAAGCTGCACATGCAATAGGCTCGCTGAAGTTGCAGGTGGCTGGCTGGGAGCAAGCACTGCTGCAAGAAGAGGTGGCTCGTTGGCGAGGCTTACTCAGTTCAATTGGAGGGCGTGACGCCGTGTATGCAGCATCATGCATGGAGCAGGCAAGCGAGCTGCAGGGAAAAACTCATAGAATTCCTGCCGATATGCAGAGGAAAAATGACACTAGAGCCGAGGTTCATTTTCATCAGGCACGCATGTCTGCCATGGTTCCTGCTGGGCCACTCTTTGCTTTGGTCATCCAAAGGTTGGCGCAGACACAAAGGTGGGATTCGTTGAGCAAGGTCAAGTTAGAAACCTGGAAATCATTGATGCAGAGCAGCACAAATCGAGACAAGCGACTGGAGCAAGTTCAAGGGTCACACGACGGCAACTTGCCAGCAGCCTGCTCCACACTTGCGGAAGTTTCGCCAGCGAGCATTGCAGATAGATTCGTTGGATATTTGGAGGCCCAGCTATCCAGCATCTCCAACCAATGGCACCATGCAACATCTTTGCGCTGCAAGCTGCAGATGGATCTCCAGGCCTTGCAATCACAAGCTCCTACCAAAACAGAAGCTGCTGCGAAGCAAGCTGCAGCAGACATGCTTCGGTTAGCAAGCGTGTGGAACCACGAGCTTCTGCAGAGATGCGCAGCTTGGCTTTCGCATGCAGATGCCACGTCAGACTGGCAGGATATTGCTGCTGTTAGGGAACTTGGCCTGGAACAGTCCTTGCGTGACTTGGCAGCCATGAACCAGGCGGCCCGAGAACGCATCTGGAGTTTGGAGGCCGAGCACGAGAACCTCGTCGCTACGGCGGGCACTCAAAAACTCTCTCTTGACACCCTGGCGCCCCCGGCCGCAAGGAGAGTCTGTTCTGGTCTCCAGCAGCACATAGACTCGTTGAAGTCGGAGTTGGGGATGGTACGCCTCGAACTTTGCACTGTGAAGACCAACTGCGATGAAATAGAGCAGAAGCTGTGCCGCACATCCTCAGCTCCACTGGCCGCCAGCGATGCCAAGCAATTATCAGGGAGCCCAAGAAACACTGGAAGTGCAGCTTTAGCACAAGTCTGCCCCGCATTGACATCCATTACGCAGCAGATGCGGCACATCTACCAGGAAACTGACTCTCAACAGAAATCAGCTGCCTTTAAGACAGTGTTGCAGGAACTTGAACATGCACGGGCATGGTGCCAGCAGGTGCAGCAGGAATTGAAGCAACAAGCAGTTCTTTCGGAAAAGATACTCGCGTCATCACACGGAGAGACTTCCGGCAGACTGCACCAGACAGCATCCAGTTCAAGCAGCCGCCCTTTTGAAGTGGATGACCGCTCAATTTCGAATATGCCAGGTCCTCAGTCTTTTGCCTTGCACTTAGTGGACATTAATCCCAAGCTGGTGAGGACTGGAGCTGTCCTTCCTCGAGTTGAGGCACTGCTGAAGATGCAACAGGGCCTGCAAACTGGCTACAGGGCAGTTACGCAAGAGCTCCAGGAACTGCAAAGCAGGAAGCAAACACATGAGTGCCTGGGTTCGTATGGTGGGCTGGCCATTCATGATGTCCTCACACTTCATTCATTCTTTTGAAGTCGTTCCAGATCGTTCCAGATAACTGCCCAGGAATGCAATTGGACGCCTGCAACGCAAATTGCAGAGGCGAAGGCAGGACTTGGAGCAGCTGGCCTGGCAAGTGGAAGCCAGAACCCAAGCACAGGAGTTGCAAAGATTGGCTTTGCTGTGGTTATGCCACTACAAACCCTTGAATGCTTGAGTTCTTCGCAGACTGCAAACAAGCTTGCCAGGAGGAAGCGGTCCAGAGCATCCAGCTGAAGACACAGGCCAGCTTTCAGTCGGAACTCGCAGAGCTCCAGCAGATGCATCACCACGAAACTGCCGCCGTAGCAAGTTTGCAAGGCGTGTGTGAAGTTTGCTTGTGGTGCTTGTGAGTAAAACTCGCATAGCTTGAGATATGGCTTCCCTTTGGCAGGCATGACAGAGCAGGAGGGGGCCATTGCTGCCCGGATGTCGTCAGAAGCTGCTTCAGCTAGAAACGCAGAGGCCAAAGCCAGCAGCGAAGCGAAAGAGGTGTTGACTGCTGCAGAAGCGGCTTCCGCCGAATCTGAAGCCGTCACCGATACCAACCTCACATCTCGACGATTGCAGGCCTTGTCGCAAGCGATACAGGACCACAGCACGACGTCTCAATCAGGGCTTTCCGATCTCGCTGACAGACTTGCAGCAGCAGCCAGAAATCTCCATGAGCAAGGCGCAACTTGCACTGAAGCTCGCAAAGGTTTGCAGAGCATGGAAGCGGAACAGCGTGAGGCAGAAGAATATGCTCAGACCTCGGAGATGGCAAGCCACGAACTTCAGGAGCAAGTCCGCTTGCTGATGCTGGCGTCCAGTGCGGCCTGCGAGCTCAGAAATGCAGAATCAAGTCTGGGCCAGGGAGAAGCAGAGCTGGAAAGGATAAGTGGGCAGCTGGAGAAGCAGATGGCAAACTGCAACAACTTTCTTGAAGAAAGACGTGCCGCCGAAAACCAAGCAGGGACAGAGGAATTGCTGCTGAGCCAGCTCCAATCTGCGAGTCGAGGACTGGAGTCACGCCTGCAGAGGGCAGAGGCAAAGCAACATACGCAGGACCGACGATACAAGCAGGAAAAAAGCGAGTGGAAGCAGCAACTGAAGCAAATCCAGCTGAGTGAGATGGAGCGCGGCAAACATATCGCCAACTTCGCAACAGAGCCCGTTGCAGTTACCTTGGAACCGATCACAGCCACAGCAGCAATCGCAGGATGTGCACAGGAGGAACATGAAGCCATCGCACGGCAAGAGCAAGCTCTGGAGAAGCAGGCCAAAACCCTTCAGTCTCAGCTGGAAGCAACCAAAGCACAAAGCCAGCTATTGGTAAAGGAGCAGGCGACCGAAAGGTATCTCGCAAAACGTGGGGAAGATGTGCTCAGCAAAGAGATAGCATCTGCAAGGGGTCGAGTCACTGCATTGTCCTACGAACTAGACCGCTTGCGTCAAGTCACAGGCAGTCCGAAAGCAGGCGCTGCAGCGGCTGAGTGCCAACCCAAAGCTAAAGAAACTTCTTCCGATCACGCAGTCAGGAGCAGCCGCTCAAAGATGAAGCAGCTTCAGAACGCATTGGCCCAGGAGCAGGGGCAGGGCAAGCAATTGCGAGATCGGCTTGCCCGTGTGAAGCAGACAGGCAATCAGATTCGTGAGCGCATACGGGATGCGGAGCAAAGACTCCTGGTAAGTCGGGATGATGTGGAGCGAAAACGCGCTTTAGTTGCTACGTTGCAGAAGCGGCGTCAAGAATCTGCCGAACGGTCAGCTTCAACAACACAGCAACAAGAGGAGAGCAACAGATCCCTCCAGCAGCTGAAGGCGGACATTGCTCGAAAGGATTCTGCAATCAAGACTCTTCAGAACGAGGTGGCAGCCCACAGAGAGGGTGCAAAGCAAGCCAGCAGTGAAGGCAAAGCTCTGCAAGAAGTTGCAAGATCAAAAATGCAGGTGGAGCTACATCGCAAGGAGCAAGAGCTTTTTCATGCACGTGCTAAGGCGCAGCTGCTTAAAAGTCGATTGGACACGGAAGCCAAGCGCACCAGAGTCCAGCGCACTGCCAAAACTTTGTCCAGCGGGCGAGGTTTGCAAGGACGCCGGGATCCAGATGCAGAAAGCGGTGTGCCCCTAGACGAATCCCCCTCGCGAGTTGAGGATGTAAGTGAGTCTCTACTTGGCACGTTGCCCTCTGGAGCGGAGTGCGTAGATTCTCTGAGGAGTTCTGGTCTGTCAGCAGTGGAACACTTGTCCGGTATTTTTCTGCAAGGGACGAGTTCGGCTGACTCTTCGTGGGAGCTGTCCGCGGCCGTGCAAGAGTCCTTGCAAATCCTGAACCTACAACCGGAGGATTTAGCAGAGTTTCTGCCGCAGTCGGAGCTCCCTGCATCCGCAAAACAGTGTTGGTCTGTGCATCCCAATCAGTAAGTGGAGAGCATGTGCTAGCTGCCAGCTGAGGAACACTATCATCAGCTTTCCCCAATCTGCAGTTGCGCTGCTTAGGTCCGCCTAAGGGCCAAAGAGCAGCGTAAGCGAACTAGAAGGGCTCAGAGGCGAAAGGAAGAAAAGGAGGCGCCAGATCTGTGCCATGCAAGCCTAGTTTGGCATTTTCCCCGTGCCATTGTCATTGTCAGGCTGCAAAATCCAAAGCTGACCAGGAGCACGACAAAGAACTTCGTTGGCCACTAAGCATGACCCGCTGTGCGCTAATGACTCATAGCATGCTACTTACATCTCTCCTCCTGCAGGCGCTGCTGCTGCCAGCGAGGACTGTAGGACAAAAGACCTTGACACAACAGCAGCACGTGGATTATGAGCAGCCAAATGCGTTGCACAGCATGTCGTAGCGGAACAGATCGCGAGCTTGTCAAGCATTGCCAACATCACAGTTGCGTTGAAGATTTTGTTGTTGGGCAAGGTTGAGTGGACGTTGCAGGTTTGCGCGGATGTGTCGAACACAAGCTTGCAGGGGGCTTTAGGCAAAGTCCGTCCAGATTTTTTTTGAGCTTGAGGATGCAGCCCCTGGAAAGCGTGGACGGCCAAAGAAGCTCCCGTCTGCAAAGCCACAACTGGCACAAGGCCTTAAGTGATCACAGCAGCAAAGGTATTGAGCCATTCTGCTGGTGCAGGGTACCTTGCAGAAGAGCAGGATGCAGGCCCCCTGCCTGAAAGCAGCTCCTTGATGCAGTGTTATTGGCTTTGCAGCACTTGGCCCATTGGATGTGGGCTTTCCCTTTCCTGCATGTCTGCCTCCTCGGGTATCTTGCAGAAATGCTGAAACTCCTTGAGTAAGAACCCTTCTACTTGTGCGGGTCCCATAGGCTTGCATTAGAAGCCCATGCAGTCCACCAACCAAAATGTCTTCGGCCGGAAAACCTGGCACTCAGGCAACCGACGACAGCAAACAGTTGTTGGAAAACTTCGCACAGATGACAACAAATTTGGGCTTTCATTTCAAGGCACAAAGCCTGGTCATGTTGCATCTCTAAGTATATCCTTACCAGTCCTAGATTTTAGCTTTGCGTGCGAGACTTCAGTGCAGAAGATGTGCCTTGACCCAAGTTCCAGCTGCTCCAGAAGCTCCTGCTGCCCCAGATGTGGATGTCCCGGCATGGCGCTCACACACTTTGTGGCAAGCAGGTGGGCTCAAACATCTCTCTGGACAAAGCCAGGCGCCTCGAAAACGAGGGCGACCCAAGGGGCAAGCGCTGAAGAGGCAAGCGTTGAAGGGCGAGCCTGCGGCAGGCTGGAAGGGGAGGCTTGCAATGCAGTCCCAAGCCTCTAGACACTTGCAAAGCAGGTATAGGGAGAGACCAGGCAGCAATCGAAGAGAGCAGCTAGGAAGCATATGAAAGGCAAACGGTGTACAACGGGGGGTTTGAAGATAGGTGTAAGGAATTCTTTGGCCCAAGTACGCGCATCCTCCCAATACTTACCGGTAATGGAAACTGTGGGAGGTTTTATTGGCAAGGGGAAGATTTTTTGTAAAGAAATATGGGAGCACATTTGGCTTCCATTGCACTTGTAATCCTCCGGCCCATCATTTTCCATTCAACTCGTTCTGAATGCTGATGAAACATGTCTACACAACAGGAGCTATGTGCTATTTAAAAAGTCATCATGCATACAGTGCGACCCCGAAGTCCTACGATTTCTGGTCGTGCTTTGGATAAGACGGAAGAATCAGGTGCTAACGAAACTCCAATTCCATATTCTGAGTTGCCAGGGCGTGCTTTGCAGAACTGGCAAGTCTTTCTGTGATTTAGGCTTATTGTTGTGTGGTTCGGTCAGCAGTTCTCCAGGAAACCATCGCATGGCATATTGTGTTGAAACCTGGTTCGACAGCGTTTACATGGAGAAGGCGGATATTGTTATGACTATCCCAGAAAAGCTGTAAGGAGCGTCTCCTCGCGGGAAGTATGTCCCTATTGGAATTGTTATGTCTTTCGGGTCCGACTGTAACAATAGAAGCGGACGAAATACAGGAGATCCCGGATTCTAATCAGATTCCAGTGAAATTCCTTTATGTAAATGACTTCTTGAAATTGTCGCAGACGAAATAAAACATAAGGAAATTGCGCCGGGGGGGGGGGGGGGGGGG